ATATTGATATTCTTTAATTCTATTAATCTTTCTATTTCCTTAAATTGCACTTGCTCATTTTAATATTTATACCGCTCCAAATTATATCTGGTTATTTTGATGTTTCTACTGTTTCAAAATTAGACTTGCTCATTTTTATCATAAATCTATCAAATAAATAGCACTGCAGATAAGATACGTATTTAAATTTTTTTAAGACAACAGGTAAGATATTTTATACATAAAACTATAGATAAGATGTACAATATCTGGTAAACAAGTAATTGCTAAACACATCAAGAACTAAAGATATTTATCACGGAGTAAGCAGAGTTATTTATAAACACTCAACTCTGTACATTTCTTATCAAACGAGTTGTGTAAGATTTTTTGCTGATCTATTATTTATTTTCAGATTTTTCGGGTGTTTGGTCTACATATGAGCAATTGAAAATACCCATTTATAAAGTAAGCATTATTTCAATTATTTAAATGATTCATGTTTTATTCATTTGATAAAGACTTGGATTTACTATAAAGTTTGACTTTTTTATATTATAGATCTGTCCCAGACTGCACTAAAATTGTAGCTTAAGGTGGTAACAAAATGTTCACATTATATTAACTATATGCTCACCTTTGATTCTACTCCTGCACATGGGACGAACTTTTTATTGCCATATTTGCCTCTAATTTAGATACACCACAAACATGTCTAAATTGCAAACCACTCGAAACAGATCACCTGAATAACTTGGCTACCGATGGCAATAAAGAAAGCTACATCAGACCAAAGTCACTTGGTTTTAAAGAGACATAATGACATGCGAATAGTCTTTTTGTCAGTACAGAAGCAAAGAACACGCAAAGGTTAACAGTGTTTTTATTAAACAGAGTGGTGGGGGTTTTTGTTTACCTTGCAATGAAGCGCTTCAAAACGCATACAGTGAGCCATGGTTAAAGAACCAAACGCGCAATTCATCGATTCGCTTAGTTACATATACATAAACGCACTTGTTGATGCAAGTGTTCAAAACGACAACCTTGGACGACTTACGGCATTTTTATCTTTTTTCAATATACGAAGGAATTTTATTGAAATCTTTACAACTGTATTAATTCTTTTAGATTTTCTATAATGGATTTGAAAATTTTAGCGAAACTTGTTCTGAAATCAATTATTTTCCACTCAAATTGAGTAATTAATAGTAATTAAGCCATTGTAAAAATAAAATAACGCTATATTAGTAGAGAAGTCAAAGAATCACGTTTTCTACATACATACAGAGTCCACAAAAGTACACCTAAAATGCAATAACTATTTTAAAACTGGATTGAATTACTTGAATTTCTTTTAGATGATAAAGGGACTAATTTACTAGACAATTAATAAAATGTTTTTCTAAATTTTGTTATTACTTGGAACGACAATAAAAAAGGTAAAACTCTCGTGTTTTAACTTTTTTATCATATTAACCGATTTCGATCAAATTTTCAGGCTCAGATAAAAAAGTTAAAAAACGAGAGTTTTTTCATTCCTTTTTTGTCATTTCAAGTAATAGTAAAATTTTTAAAAAAAGCACTTTAGGCATTGTCTAATAGCCTAGTCCCTCTATCATCTAAAAAGAAGTGATCTAGTACAGTTTTAGAAAAGTTATTACGTTTTAAAAGATATAGGAACACTTCTGTAGGCCACTGTGTCTCTGTCAACAAAAAGCACTATTGATACCAGATTATTCTTGAAGCCATACAAGATTGGCCTGACGCATACGTTTTTTAATTGCCAAAGACAGCCGAGTCATTCATGTAATCTGTTTTCAAGAGAGTCTTTGTTTTTCCAACTATTGTTCTTTTCATTTACGGTTATGTTTGCATTCTTCTTTCTACATCATTTTCTGGTTTTGAGCAAGAGCATATGGATAGTGTTTCAAGTGTTAGAGATAACTTAATCCTCGCGGTAAGATTGAAATGATATGATTTTACCACCGATTCACTAAACAGTAATCTCGTAATTCTTGTTGTTTTCATCTATTTACAACTAGCATATAACTCAATTAGCAAAAGATCTTTCGTTTATAATTTGTAGCGCAATTTATTAAAAAATGCATTTTCAATTTCGCATCATTCATTGTCATTGTTCCATGTCATTAACTCTAGATAACTAAACATTTGCCAGTGCGATAATCGGAATCTTTTTATCATGCGATGTCCGAAATTTTAATGTAATACATACAGGATGAGTGAAAAAGTCTACTTATACGAAATAATTCGTTACCTATTCGCTTTATCGAAATGTGTTTGAATTGAATTTGTCACATTCGAGGCAACTGATTCTGTAAATATAGCTTGAGTTTTTAATACATTCATTTTCTAAAATATTATGTTTCATATCTCGGAAAATATAAAGTAATAAAACATTGAACCAAACATGTGATCCCGTCATTTGAAAGATGCCAGTAGATAACGAGTTATTTCGAGTGACCGTTCTTATCTAGACCCCGTGTATAAATATTAACCATAATGCCAGATGTAACTTTCCAGTTCTATTTATCCCGTCTTTAAAATATTGTCATCATTAACTAAAATAGATTCGATTATGTTTACACCTTTAAGGGCCATGTATCAACTATAAAAAATACTTGTAATATTTTAAGAAATAGTTCTTTTCAATAAAACACGACTAGACAAAATAAACATGCAAAAAAAGATTTGATTTTAAGTCATTTTTATGTTACTTTTGTGATTGTAGCATCAATGGATAGCTGAGATTTTTTTGATTGAAATAAGTCCAAACACGATGGAAATCGGATTACGTTTAACGAAGAGCTTATTATTATATAGGGTGAGTCACGTGCCTTGCACATCTCAAATAACTTTGAGTTTAACTTAAAAAAACATGGAAAACTCTCGACATACAAGACCCTTCACTCATCTTTGAAACCGTGTATTCGACAATTTTTTATGAAAAGCATAACTTAACATTTATTTGAGGTGTGCAAGTTAAGGTTATATTACCCTGTAGATTGCTTATTAATTAATCCGATTCCCATCATGTTTGGACTCATTTTAATCAAAAGAATCTCAGTTATTCATTGATGCTACAATTATAAAGGTGAAACAACAATTACTAAAAATAACATCTTTCTTATTGTATATTTATTTATTGCTGGTGCTGTTGCCAGTGCTTGGCATTAAAAGATGCCCATACATTTATACAGGGTGTCCCAAATATGTTCGAACCAAATGAAATTATTCATTCCTGACGGAGATTTCGACTAAGAAAAAGTGTCTTCAAATGACCTCAGAAATTACCCATTTCATTTCAATCGAACATTTTCGGATCCCTCCGTTTTTACGTGCTCGCTCACGAGTCCATGTAAATTTAACCGTACGCTATTGCGTCCTGAGCCCTTCGTTGACGTCAACGTTACTCGAAAAAAGGTTTAGTTATCCAGGGTTAAAATGTTAAAACTCCAAAAGAAATTGAACTCCGCAACCATCGATGAGTAGAGGACACCCCATACGCGAAATAAACGGAGAAGATAACCGAATCTGAAAACTTGCTATCCCTCGCATGAAGAGCATGCGATCTCAAATTTCGAACCGCACCCAATCACATTCATCGCGAAACCAGAACGTCAAGGTTCGCTATTCGGCCTCGATACCGCGGATAAGTATGATTCGGCGTTAATCGCCCCTATAAGATCTGATACTATACCTAAAGCGATTTGAGGAATGTGCGGTTTTATGTCGGCTGGTTTCAAGTCCGTTGCCAGAGGAGTGCTCGGCCCGTTTACGAGGACGGACCCTATATAGTTGAGCAATTTCTGCGCACGATTCTGACTCGGGTGGAACTGGAAGAGCTGCGGGTTCTCGTCGATGAAGTACGTATCGACCTTTCCGTTGAGGAACTTTTGGTTTTCCAGCACGTTCAGCAGGAATGGAATGTTCGTTTTAACACCGCGAACGCGAAACTCGCGAAGCGCACGGTTCATTTTCGCGCAGGATGCTTGCAGATCGCCCGCGTGAGCTATCACCTGGAAGCAGAAGCAATGTTTCCGTCAAATGCTGGTCTTTGTTTCATAATAATTTCTTGGTCGTTGATACTATAACAGTGCATAATGGTTAAGAACGCGATTTTAGGTGAGTAAAGTAATTTCTATGTTTACACAGTGTCTTATAATTATGTTAACACTCGGAAAGGGGTGATCCCTAAGGTCATTTGAAGTAACTTTTTCCTTAGCGAAAATGCAATCCGCGGCTTTGTTTGCGAATTATTAACGGAAAATAGTGACCAATGAGAGGCGAGCTCGACTAGCGCTAGGCAGCCGAGCCAATCGTTGGTCGACCGCTCGTTGGTTCGGCCGCCTTGCGCCAACTAAGTTCACCTCTCATTGGTCAGGGTATTTCGCTAATAATTCATAAACAAAGCCGCGGATTACATTTTCGTTAAGGAAAATGTTTCTTCAAATGATTTCAGGAATCATCCCTTTCCGACTGTTAAAATAATTATGGGACACCCTGTAGATTGCTCTAAATATATGGATCGCAGTTTGAACATATGATGTCAACGTGAACCTTGACTCTTTTATGTCAAAAACATTTTTTGAGATTCAAGGATATGCGAACCAATAGTCCACCAAATACTGATAAAGTTTTGTATGAAACATTTTTTCAACGAACTACAGGAAATATTTAAAAAATGACAAAATATATAGTTTTTGAAAACGAGAAAAGATATTTCGCAAGATTATTTACAACATGCACACCACTAAAACTTTTGCATACACCTAATACAAATAGTACATACAAATGGTTTTTGTTCACACATTTCCCTCTACGTGAATATACCGGGTGTCTCAAAAATGTTGGTATCAAATGTAATTGGTAATTTCTGATGTGATTTGAAGACATTTCCTCCTTGGCGACAATATCCTCCGCGACCTCGTTAACGAGTTATTAACAAAAAAAACTACGATCAATCAGAGGGCGAGTACATCTTATGAATTTTGGCACGACAACGAGCTGGACACAGCATTGGCCACAACGGTGAGGCGCCAGTCATACTCGCCCTCTGATTGGTCCGCGTTTTTCGCTAATAACTCGTTAACAAAGCCGTGGCCGACATTTTCGCAGAGGAAAAAGTGATTTTAAATGACCTCAGGCATCTCCAGTTTCAAGCGATTTCAATAATTTTGGAACACCCTGAACAGTTCTATTATTCTATTCAGGCTATCGATATTTGATTAACGTTAAGATTTCGCAGTTTACTATACCTTGACAAGAAGAGAATCATAGTAAGGCGAAATTATAGCACCAGCAAATGCAGACGCACTGTCCAATCGGATACCCATACCTTCGCCGGAACGGAACACTTCGATTCTTCCGGTATCTGGTTGGAAGCTCTTCGCAGGATCTTCTGTAGTTACGCGACATTGTATAGCGCTACCTTGAGGAATGATTTTATCTTGTGTCATTCCTAGCTCAGGTAACGTGATACCCTCGGCAATACGGATTTGAGACTGCACCAAGTCGATTCTGAAAGAATTGTCACCTCTTAAAAATTACAGAAATAAAATAAATTAATTAATTACAGAAATATAATAATACGATCGACTTCGTAGATATATTTTTCTCTATTTAAAATAATTCAGTAACTGAAATACATTTGTTTGCACTTGATATTACTGAATAAAATTCTTCATTCGAAATTCACACGTTGTTATAAAAATTGCAATCTGGGTAAATTCAATCTTGTAATTTTTATAAGACAACACATATCAGTCACTTTTACTACTGATACGTTTAATATTAATTCACTTGTACTACATATATCGACTCGTACTCGTGACGAAGATTTCGTACATAATCCACTAAATATGAATGTTATTGATTTGATTTTTCTTCTAAATCGAAACAGATTCTTCTGTTAGCAAAATCTGGGATGAATGTAAATAAAGGCAAACAAATGACAAAAATTATCTTCTTCCATTAGGAGAATTATTAAGAATAAAACAAGTGCCACACTCAATCTAGCTGTGAAAGAAATCATAAAATAGTTAACGTGTGTTTATGCAGGTATAGAATACAGGAATCTGGCGCCTTCGCGTGGAATTAATTTTTCAGATAAAGATAATGTATTCACCCAGTAATTTCTTCTGTCACTGTATGCTCGACTTGCAGCCTAGCATTAACTTCAATGAAGTAGAAGTTTCCGGAATCGTCGGCCAAAAATTCAACGGTACCGGCGTTCGAATAACCGACATGCTTTGCCAACTGTACAGCGTAGTCGGTCATCTTGTTCCTAACTTTTATGTCCAACAATGGTGCAGGAGCAATCTCGACGACCTGCAAGTATTTATCATCATTGTTTGAAACACAGTAATTTCTCCCTAATTCGCGCTCTGATTGCACACAAAAATGGCTCGTTTTTATTTTTATCAATTGTCAATAACTATAAAACGAGACGCAAGGCTCGAATAATCGTATCTCCTCTTCCCAAATTGTCCATTTTTGTGCGCAATTTGAGCGCGAATTAGGGAGAAATTACTGTACTTTCGATGTGAGAATGAATGATCTATCTTTTATAATTAAACAAATTATGAGGCAAACTGTCATTTTCATATGTGATTTTACAAAAATTAGAAAGTTTCCTTCGTCAACTAGCAGATTGCTCATTATAATAATAAAATAAAAACGCTGATAGACTTCGTTAGTTATATGCTTTCTTGCATTTGAAAATTCTGCATATGTTAGTCTGCAGTTAGACTGCAGTCTGTTTATTACAAACAAGTGTACTTCTATTTTCAGAGGCTTTATCGTAATAGATTGTTTATATAGCAAGCAAAATTACATGTTCCCAGAAATTTAGAAAATTATTTAGGTATATTTCATATTTGTTGAACATGCAAATATTTAATTTGTAGGCTGTAAGAGATAGGAGTAGTTTTCATGCAACTTTTGTTTCTGATAATTTTATCTGTCGAATGGTAACAGCCTGTCTCTTATACACATCTAGATGTGTATAAGAGCCAGGTATTACAGTATTGCTATTGCAATACTGCTTGCTATTGCAAATATTGCTATTGCAAAATATTATCATGCTTAGATACCAGACAAAATTAATAATTACACATGTACAATTATATCTGTCTCTTATACACATCTAGATGTGTATAAGAGCCAGGTATTACAGTATTGCTATTGCAATACTGCTTGCTATTGCAAATATTGCTATTGCAAAATATTATCATGCTTAGATACCAGACAAAATTAATAATTACACATGTACAATTATATCTGTCTCTTATACACATCTAGATGTGTATAAGAGCCAGGTATTACAGTATTGCTATTGCAATACTGCTTGCTATTGCAAATATTGCTATTGCAAAATATTATCATGCTTAGATACCAGACAAAATTAATAATTACACATGTACAATTATATCTGTCTCTTATACACATCTAGATGTGTATAAGAGCCAGGTATTACAGTATTGCTATTGCAATACTGCTTGCTATTGCAAATATTGCTATTGCAAAATATTATCATGCTTAGATACCAGACAAAATTAATAATTACACATGTACAATTATATCTGTCTCTTATACACATCTAGATGTGTATAAGAGCCAGGTATTACAGTATTGCTATTGCAATACTGCTTGCTATTGCAAATATTGCTATTGCAAAATATTATCATGCTTAGATACCAGACAAAATTAATAATTACACATGTACAATTATATCTGTCTCTTATACACATCTAGATGTGTATAAGAGCCAGGTATTACAGTATTGCTATTGCAATACTGCTTGCTATTGCAAATATTGCTATTGCAAAATATTATCATGCTTAGATACCAGACAAAATTAATAATTACACATGTACAATTATATCTGTCTCTTATACACATCTAGATGTGTATAAGAGCCAGGTATTACAGTATTGCTATTGCAATACTGCTTGCTATTGCAAATATTGCTATTGCAAAATATTATCATGCTTAGATACCAGACAAAATTAATAATTACACATGTACAATTATATCTGTCTCTTATACACATCTAGATGTGTATAAGAGCCAGGTATTACAGTATTGCTATTGCAATACTGCTTGCTATTGCAAATATTGCTATTGCAAAATATTATCATGCTTAGATACCAGACAAAATTAATAATTACACATGTACAATTATATCTGTCTCTTATACACATCTAGATGTGTATAAGAGCCAGGTATTACAGTATTGCTATTGCAATACTGCTTGCTATTGCAAATATTGCTATTGCAAAATATTATCATGCTTAGATACCAGACAAAATTAATAATTACACATGTACAATTATATCTGTCTCTTATACACATCTAGATGTGTATAAGAGCCAGGTATTACAGTATTGCTATTGCAATACTGCTTGCTATTGCAAATATTGCTATTGCAAAATATTATCATGCTTAGATACCAGACAAAATTAATAATTACACATGTACAATTATATCTGTCTCTTATACACATCTAGATGTGTATAAGAGCCAGGTATTACAGTATTGCTATTGCAATACTGCTTGCTATTGCAAATATTGCTATTGCAAAATATTATCATGCTTAGATACCAGACAAAATTAATAATTACACATGTACAATTATATCTGTCTCTTATACACATCTAGATGTGTATAAGAGCCAGGTATTACAGTATTGCTATTGCAATACTGCTTGCTATTGCAAATATTGCTATTGCAAAATATTATCATGCTTAGATACCAGACAAAATTAATAATTACACATGTACAATTATATCTGTCTCTTATACACATCTAGATGTGTATAAGAGACAGCACATGTACAATTATATTATACATGATAATAATCTGAGACAATTTATTACCATACCTTTATATTAAATACTTTACTATTATACATGTGTATCATAATACATATCATTATGTATTAAAACTGTGCCGATAATATTATATTCTACAATGTACACTTAGCTTTATATTTTAAATGAAGTTTTAAAGAGCAACTATTTTAAAAAAGAAATTATTCTATTTTATAATCATCCTCTATTTTTTGTTTTATGGATTTAAGCAATTTGGGAAATCAGCGGCTCACATGTTATTCATACTTCAATTATTGATTTTTATCATTAATTTTTGTTCGTGTCGATGCTTGATGACATATATATGTATGTATAACTACATGTGCAACAAGCAAGCAGATAGCAATTGTAGTACAGATGCGCACAACTTCTATTACGATGAACTGACCTTTTGATGGCGTCGTTGCACGGAACAATCACGTTCGTAAAGATGAACAACATTGCCGGCAGTATCTCCCAACAATTGAACTTCGATATGCCTTGGTCTTTCGATGAACTTCTCAATGAACATAGCTCCGTTACCGAAAGCAGCCTTCGCCTCTGACGAAGCTCTATCGAACAGTTCTCGTACTTCTTCCATTTGTTTCACGACTCGCATTCCTGAACAAATTAAAAAACCATTTTGTATTGTTCGTTTGATTAGTTTCCACGTGTTACACTCATATGTGTGCATTACATTCGTTTTTCTGGATTACAGAAACGATTTCTAGATGATTATTTACAAAAGGGTGCTCTTGTTTGATTTTAATTTGAATATTTTGTACAGCTTGATATTTCGAACAACTTTGTGTGGTTTGCCTAGACCAAACGTAAATCTAACCTAGACCTAACGTAAATCTAAGTTAGACCTAATTTTGTTCAAGGAGATTTTTTGGATTCATTATACAGAATGTGTCATTTAAGCCTTTTACCTTAATTTTTCTTGTAAACCAGGGTAATGGAGCTGGTTATTATTAACTTTGTATTTATTGAATAAGATATATTTATTTATTCCATTATTTTGTTTACTTTCTAATAAAGAAGATTTAATATGTCCTATTCGATATATGTAAAGTTAATTATGAAAACAAACCAAAGACACAACACTTGGTCACCCCACAGTAACCGGCTCCAGTACCCTATACGTTGTAAAAAGATAATGTTTTGAACGAAAGTTGTTTGGTATAAAGCATATACGGTGGCAATTAATGTTACGATATTTTCGTTTTTTATCAAAATATTTGGGTCACCTTGAGTTTTGTAACTATAACGTACAACATTTGACCATGCATACAACAATAAAATTAATATAAGATAAAATAATTAATTGAATACAAATAAAAAAATTTCATATGCCTTATGCGATAAATATGAAGTTAATTATGCTCGAAAGTAAACAAGAAGCACAGTAATTGGCTACCCCGCAGTAACTGACTCCACCGTCCTTGTACGAAGTAGAAATAAATATAAATTATGAATGCCGCTAAAAGTTATGCAAATGCAGCATAGAAAGATTCCAGTATGAATTTATTGCTATTACTATTGCTAATACTATTTCCAGGTAGAAAATATTGCTTCCTAAAATTCTTTTCACACAATTATTAATCGAAATAACAAGCATTTCTCTTTTTCAGAAGTTTTCAACAAATTATTATATTATATACATATGTCAGGGGCAAACTATTTTAATGCAAAACCAAACGAGACTGGAATTTTCGTTAACAATTTTCCAATATTACCTCTGCCACCACCTCCATAAGCAGCTTTGAAGATGACCGGAAGTCCATGTTTCTTACAAAATTCTACCGCTTCGTCGGATGTGGTCACTGGTCCGTCTGTTCCCGGAACAATCGGCACACCAGCTTCTATTGCGGCTTGTCTCGCAGCGACCTGATATTTCACACATAAACAATAATACTTCATATCAAAAGAAAATCTTCGTATAAATGCAACGACGTAATCATGAAAATATTATTTATATTTTATGCATATTTTGTATACTAGGAAACGCGATCAGTATGAGACACTTGATCTGTTAATTTGTTCCAACCTGGCATATTTTACTATTTTAACGGATTAATTATTCGAAACGCGATGAACATTTATGATTGTTATCCATTTGAAAGACAACGTCTAAGAGGAGAGTAAACATTTTTTTTGTCAAATAGTTGACTTTTTTGTACTTTTTTCTTTGATAATATATATCGAATTCCGCCAAAATCTATAATCAACATCAATAGTTAATGATCTACTCGAGTAAGAGTAAGTCTTCCTTAAGTGTGCTTTTCATATGAACAACAAGGATAACACGTAATTTAATCGAAAATTATTTTTAAATTCTGCCTACTGCTGAAATGGCAGCAACATCTTCGTTCAATTTTTCCTCTGACATTATTAGTGTTAAGTGTAGTGTTTAGTTAAAATGTAAATCTAGTGTGCTATTAGAAGTTTTACGAAGAAGTTGATAGCTGCAATAAATTCTGAGAAAAATGATTATGTACTTCCTTTATACATATAATGTTGTGATTCATCTTATTTCTATCGAGGAAATTTCGTCATTCTCATTAAAATGCTTCAACGAGATTAATATAATAGATATTTACACAAAGAAGGCCTTTGATGATTTCGACATTTTTTTAAATATGGTGCCAAAGTCATCGTCCTGAACAACCTCGTCAAATTTTTAATTGCAGTTCTCCTCGCATTAATTTTTATTATTAATTTAACGATGTATTATTTTGTGTGCCAAATATTCCTGAATATTTTTTAGACGTTCTAAAATAAGAGTCGGCAGCGTTCTTCTCAAAATTATAATTAACATGGAAAGTACACCCGAAATGTGATTAGTTTTGGAACCAAATGTCCTCTGGATGTTGTTGATTCCTAGTGTACAATAAAGGTACAGAAGTTATCATGACGGAACGGTTACGCGAGACCACATAAGTTTCCCAATATAATTTACATTTACAATAAATTCTCCCCAATTATCCTCAACTTGGAAACAACAATGGACAACTTGGGAAAGGGGAACACGATTATTCGAACCCCAAAATATATATTTTAAAATCTTGTTATGTATTTGTAAAATCAATGAAGTATTTCAACTAGTATCTCACATTTAATATATAAATAAATTACTATCCCAAAATGAAGCATATGTAATACGAGAAAATTGTAAAATTGAGAAAAATAGTATTTGCAAATATTTGTATTTCTTGTTGAAATTTTTTTGACCCAAATATGGTGTTCATGATACGCGAGCAACCATAATCTTGACTTATTCCTTATGTGTAAAGAAAAATTATCCACTCCTTCTGAACACATTCTCTACTAAATGTTCCCTAAAAATTTCTAGAATACGCACCTTGTCACCCATTTGTTGCACAACTTTCGGAGTGGGGCCAATGAATCTGATACCAGCATCGATCACAGCTTGCGCGAAGTCTGATCTCTCAGAGAGGAAACCGTAACCTGGATGAATGGCGTCGACGTTGTTTTCTTTTGCGACTTTGATGATTTCGGGGACGTTCAGATATGCTTGTACGGGCGGCAACCCTTTGCCGACTATGTAGGCCTCGTCGGCTTTTTGTCTGTGCATTTGCATCTTGTCCTGCTCCGAGTAAATCGCCACCGAACGGATGCCCAGTTCCGTACATGCTCGAAACACACGAATCGCGATCTCTCCTGTACAGAATTAAATTATGTTTATTAGTATTGGGAAGAAATTTTGGACGATGCATAACGTTGCGATTAATGCTTATTGAGTGGACAAATAATAATAGGTCGGTCCATAAGTGCGTGCGGTTTTAAT